GCTGCTCAAAGTTTGGGAACCACTGCAATATTATGTGCTAAAAGCATAGAAAATGAGTGACACTGGCACTACCTTTTTAGCCGAAGTGGTTGTTTATGTAGAAACGCTTCTTTCATGTTTAGCCCTTCAGAGAACGAAACCTAGGGATGCAAAAACAGCAGACGGGTTAGCCTCATGTCAAGTTAAAAGGTGCCAGCAAGGGCGATACATAATTGAGGAAAACTACATGCAGAAGTTAATCAGTGTTTGCAGAACTGAATCAAGGGTAAACTACACTTTTCACCCTCAAATTTTTATCCAAATTTTACTTTGGACTGTCATCTTCTAATTGCAACAATTAAGACATCAGACTTCAACTGATATTTCAATGTGGTCCTCCCATCACCCCACCGTTTGAAATTTGAAACAGGAGGGATCAAAATGGAATTTAAGTGAGCTGGAGGGTGAAAAGTCCAATTTGCCATACAATTTTTTTCCTCTAATGCCCCTAAAATGTGCTCATGTGGCTCTCATGTGAGCACTTTCCATCCAAATTTTTAACAGTAACTGACAAAAGGACCACATTGAGACATAAGTAGAAATCTGAGGACATAATTGTTCCAACTGAAAGATGAGGACCAAAGTAAAATTTGAGTGAAAAGTGGATTTTACCCTTGAAACCAAGTGAGGGGAAAATAGTATATGAATACCCTTGCAATTTTATATATTGACAAGTACATCCTTCTACATAAGGAATTTTCCATTCCTTCAACAGACCATAGTGTCCATTAGCAACATGTGACATCAGATACTACTATTCAAGGATGCAAGTATAGCCAGTTTGAAGAAAGAAAACCACCTCAATAGAGCTGATGAACAGCAATGGAGCGTTTTTCCCATGCACACTTGCTACCCTGAGGTTCCAGTTCATATATCTTTTATCTGTAATCAAAGGGAATGGACTGTGAGAGCCGCAAACCACATCTTGGCATGGTGTAGAGAGAATAAAGAACATATGAAAGGCAACCATTTCACACACAATATCTTTGTTCCAATGAGAGTGGGAGATGGGTGTGGAATCAGCATAAATCTTGAAAAACAACTTCAAGAAAAAATAATAATAATAAAAAGAAAAAAAGGGCATTCCAAAAAATATTATGAAAGAAGTTATTTTCTTTAATTTTGTAGTGGTTAGAGATCTTTTCTAAAATAAAATACAGGCGTTATGTGTACCAACAGGAAACCAAATGGGGCATACGCATACACAAATGGAATTGGGATCATCAAGGCAACATATATTTATCGCCACAAGTTAGCAAGCCAATGGGCAAGCCATGATAGAGATAATAGCATCTACTTCCTAAAACTCAACAAACAAAGTCATAAATCCTGGAAAGTTACCTAAACTCACGGTCTGAGTAAAAATGATTTGGAGAAGATCAATTCTAACAAATGGAGGAATCTGCAGATTGAGTAGGTCCATGACTCTTGCAATTACCTGTTCTTACTCAAAGTAATGAACAACTCTTTAAAAATATGAACTAAGTATGATTAATAATGGTAAAGTTTTAAAAAAAAGGTCAATTTGTTATTACAACTTACACTATCAAACTTATGCAAATTGAACTCATGAACAAATTCAGACATTATTGTATCATACACATTGAAGTCGAATTACTTAAGCCAAATGATAAGGTTGCATGTTATTTAATGGTGAAAAAAAAGGGGTCAAGAAGAAAGTTTGCAGTACTAGATAATCATGGGATGGACATTCTGCTTGTGTAAGTTGATCCTATTAAGCCTCAAGAGATAGTACCTGGTTCATAGCCATGGTGGGGTGGGGTGGAGTGGAGTGGAGTGGAGTGGGGGGCCAAATAATAAGGAAAATGGCAAACCAAAAATCCTTGCAAAATACATGGTTGACATTTTTTTTTGAAAAATGTTTCAGATCACTAATTTAGTACCACTAATGTATCACTAATGATGTAATATCATATGGACTCTACTATTGATGTGATAGTTTGGTCTTTGTTTTATTTATTTTTATTTTTTTTGCATCGCCACCTCATTAGTAATGTTTTTAGAGTTTCAAATTTAGTGCTCTAAATCACTACTCATAGACTTACACTATGCACAAAAGTGATTTGCTCACATTTCAAAAAAAAAAAAAAAAAGTGACTGGCTCTATACATACAGAAAACTTATACTATCATGAAAGTGGAAAATATTTTTTTATTGTACCATTAAAATGTAATTTCCCCACCACTAATTTTGTACCATAATCGGATCCATAGATCATGGGAAAATTGTAAATCAACGGAAAGACCAAAAACAAATTGCAAATCAGAAGAAAAACTTATTATAATAATTAAAGTGATAAATTTTTTTATATTTTTGCAATTTATTTTTGATTTTTCTACTGATTTGCAATTTTTCCACATATCAATGGTAAGTTGCTTTCTATAAAAGGACAGAGGGCCTTCTTTTGGAGCAAGGATCCCTCCATGCATCATTTATTGCATCATTTCTTATTTGTAGGGTCATTGGTCCACTTTTAAGTTCAATTTTAATAATCTGAATCGTTCATATTTTAAGATTTGTTCAATATATTATACCTGTAAAAAATCAAGTTGATCGGATATAAAAAAACATGTGTTCGGAAAAATCGAACTAAAAACTATTTTTTAAAAAAATTTAATAAACAGTTTTCCAAACACATACTTTCTAATATTCGATCAATTTAATTTTTTACAAGTATGATATACTGAATAAATCTTAAAACATGAACGGTACGAATTATCAAAATTAGACCTAAAAATAAACCTAATGACCTTTCAAATAAAAAATATAAAAAAAAAAATACAAGGAGGTGATCTTAACTCCTTTTGAATAGACCTAAACATATGAAAATCTAAAGAAGAAACGATAACTTAGAATACTAAGGGAATCATTGGGCTTGTTTGGTTTGATTTTGGGAGATGAGTTTGGGAGATAAAAAGTACGAAAAGTTGTTTGGTTTGGTTTTTTTGGAAAGATGTTTTGGAAAATTATTTTGAGAGAGAGTTTTGGAAAAAGTGATTGATTTGATGTGTATGAGAGAGAGATTTGTTTGGAAAACTTGTTTGGCTTACAAGTTTTGGAAAAAAAATTTGGGAAAATTTGTTTGGTTTGAGTTTTTCTGAAAACTCATTTGTAGAGAAATTTTCCCAAAAAGTTTTGGGAAATTCAAACAAAACGAACCCGACATGTTTCGTTCCAATTTAGGCAACTTAGTCTATACTTGTATGCTGTGCGCATCACGTAGTAAATCTCGGCTAATAACCGGAATAAGAACGCATAATGTTTTCAAAACTAGATATCATGGTTAGTAGAGGCCGATCTTTGATCGGACGAGCGGGGGTGCTCATAGCTGACCTTTCCTAATCGTACCCAAGTTCCCGAGCCGAGGCAACTTTGGTGATGACGGACACGTGGCCTTAGGCAAACGAGTCAGGGTTTCCTAAATTTTCCCATAAAAATATTTAGGTGGCGACTCTGTATCTGGCAAAGCACTCCATGTTTGGTACTTCTTTTCTAAAAATCTGTTTTTCTCAAAACGATTTGCCGGATTTGGACTCTTTGGTTCAGATTAAGAACCGTGACAATTTGAGAGTCCGAACTGTAGTGGGCCCAAAATGAACAGAACGGGGGTTCTCCCTCCTGGGACTTTCGGGGACGTCTAGAACACATCCCTTTCTTGCATTGTTGTGCACATTGCTTGCGTTGTCACACATGCTTTTCCTTGCAATGTTATGCACTTGGCTTGCATTGTCGTGCATCCCTTTCTTGCATTGTTATGCACATTGCTTGGGTTGTCGCGCATGCTTCTCACTCGCATTGTTATGCACTTGGCTTGTGTTGTCGTGCATGCCTTACTTTTTCATCGGTCTTGCATTGCACTCTGCGTGATTAGATACAGGACCGTGACATTGAGTCCTGAACTGTAGTGAGCCCAATGAACAAAACGGGCGGGATTTCTCTCCCGGGACGTTCGGGGACGTCTACACCTCCGAGACTACATTGATCAGGATAAAGCAGTGGCCAAACCGGGGAACCCACCACCAAAACCGAACACTGAGCACCCTCCTTGGCTAGTAATAAATGTCATTCATGGAATAACGACCTAGGAGCGCGAAGAGGCACTAAAAGAACAAATTGCTAAGGTTGTGCAAATTCAGTAGGTCGTGTCAGTAGAGCCCGCATCGAAAAAGGTACGCACAGTATCCAAGTCTCCCTTGTGCACTGTTTCGTTTACTAGAAAGGATTTTGAAGGCATACAACACCCACATACTGATGCACTAATTATAACTGTGGGAATTGGGAAACGGTTTGAAGTAAAATGAGTCCTAGTAGATTAAGGCAGTGCAACAGATATATTGTATTATGACTTGTTCAGAATGCTCGGTCTCTCTGAGCAACACCTCACCCCAGCGGGAGCTCCATTAGTAGGCTTCAATTCACAACCAGAATGGCCACTTAGCCGAATAGTGTTGTCGGTTGTGGCAGGAACGAAGACCCTCCAGATAAATTTTTTAGTCATTAGAGCAGATCTCAAGAGATCAAGTTGCATCCAAACATTCTTTTATAGCAACAATGAAGGCTAAACAACTTTGCAACCGCGTACAGACAGTGGAAGTGGCCGAACAGCCAGTCTTAGAAGATGTAGGGGGAGCCCCAGAGGCAAAGATAGTAGAGGATTTGGAGAAAGTCCTAGTAAAAGGGGGCGATCCAGAAAAGTACTTCCTTATCGGTACCTCGCTAAGCGCTGATGAGAAACTTCAGCTGCTGGAATTGCTGAGGGAAAATATGGAGGTATTCGCATGGTCAGCATATGATACTCGAGGGTTGAACCCAGAATCTGCCTACCACAAACTCAACATCAATCCCTTCGCTCAGCCTGTTGTGCAAAAAAATTAGAGGTCCTCAGTTGAGCACACTAAAACAGTAATTGCCGAAGTCAAAAAGCTTCTAGCATCAGGAGCAATCAGAGAAGTTCAGTACCCGCAATGGCTGTCCAACACAGTTGTAGTCGAAAAGAAGAATGGAAAATGGAGAGTCTGTGTTGATTTCACCTGCTTGAACAGAGCCTGTCCCAAAGATAGTTTTCCTCTGCCTCGCATCGATCAACTAGTGGATTCAACAGCAGGACATGAGCATATGAGTTTTTTGGACGCTTATAGCGGTTATCACCAGATACCATTGTTCGGCCCAGATCAGGAGAAGACAACGTTTATCACTCCAAGGGGCACTTATTGCTACAGGGTAATGTCGTTTGGCCTCAAGAACGTCGGGGTAACCTACCAGCAAATGATCACTCGAATGTTCAAGGACCAACTTGGAAAAACCATGGAAGCTTATATAGATGATATGGTAGTAAAAAACAAGCTTGCTACAAACCATCTTGCAAACTTGAGAAAAGTTTTCGACATCCTGAAAAACCATCAACTTCGCCTTAATGCCTCGAAATGCGCTTTCGGGGTAGGAACAGGGAAGTTCTTGGGATACATGGTCCCTCACAGAGGAATCGAGGCAAATCCGGATCAAATCAAAGCAATACAAGAGCTTAAAGTACCAACGAAGGCTAAAGAGCTACAGAAGTTGGCCGGAATGGAGGCCGCCCTAAATCGGTTCATCAGCAAGTCTTTAGATCGGATGAACCCCTTTTTCTAGCTACTGAGAAAAATGGCAGCGTTTGAATAGAGTCTAGAGTGTACCGAAGCATTACAAAGTCTCAAAAGATACCTCAGTACACCACCTCTTCTGTCCACTTCAGACCTAGGGGAGGAGCTGTACTTTATCTAGCAGTCTCAGATCACGCCGTAAGCGCGGTATTGATTCGAGCAGTTAACAAGGAACAAAGGCCAATGTACTATGTTAGCAAGACTCTACTAGATACCGAGACACGGTATCTACCCTTGGAAAAGTTAGCTTACGCATTGCTTATCGCCTTAAGAAAATTGCAACATTACTTCCAGGGGCATACCATCAATGTCCTCACCGAATTCCCCCTTAGATTTGTCTTCAACCGAGCTGATTTCTCTGGCCAAACAGCAAAATGGGCGGTAGAACTTGGAGAGTTTGACATTCGATATTAACCTAGGACAACAATCAAGGCCCAGGTCCTGGCAGACTTCGTCGCAGACTTCGCTCCCACCCAAAGTACTGGGCTTGAGAACTCTCGTTCGGCACAGGCGCCACGTACCACCGAACCGGGAAAGCAATGCGCTATGGAAGCATGGAAACTCTTTATTGGTAACATTTGGCAGCTCTATGTCGATGGATCGTCCATTAACCGAGGCTCGAGAGCAGGGGTAGTACTTATGTCACCAGAAGGGTTTATTTGGGAGCAAGCTCTTAGGCTCGGCTGGAAGGCTCGAAGCACTGTTGGCTGGCTTATGCAGTGCTGAACACTTCAATGCAGAGCAACTTCTTATTTTCAGCGATTCCCAACTGGTGATAAACCAGCTTTCTGGGTCTAT